TTGGTATTGAACTTGACTTTGTTAGTGTTGTACGCATAGGTATACAGTAACGAGCGCCATGCTTCTGTGTTTCCGTTGAATTTAGGTTCTGTAAATTTCGGGCGACTGCTGTTGATGGACAGGTGGCAAAAACCAATACACTTTTCGATGTCGGAATTCGAAACTATAATACCTATTGATTGACTAACACACATGTCTAAATGTGCGTATTCGCAAAGTATAAAATTTGAACATAGCAATACCATATAATAACGTAAATGTACAATAAATAAGAATTTTTAAGCAAGATAATGGTAGTATTTATCATGTGGTTCCGGCGTAAAATAGGCCACCCTTTCTTTTCCCGTGAGTATCGTAGGGGTGACTAAGGGAGGGTGAGATATAGGCAGCAGCGTCCCTCTTAAAACATCTCCAAAGCCTAATTGCGGTGGGGGGGGGGGGAAGGGATTGTTAGTAATGCGGATTACCACCCCAATTGCTAACAATATACCCTAACAGATCGACCTTCCTGTGGTTTCCCCTGGATACCATCGTGCTGAATTCCAGATATATTCATCACGATTGGCTAACCGACCTGCCGTTTCATTCTCACCTATTATCCCTCACTGGTGCCCCGCCAGTATATACCGATAGCGCAGGCGGGTTTACCATTCCATTATCATCCATAAAAAACACGAACTGCGGTTACCAATCCGCCTGCCAAGCGTGGCAACTACTAGCAAAACCCCTGAAGTTGGAGGCCTATGTCCAGCAGTGGACAGTTAAAGGTCAATATGATAATGTTGAGGAAGGAACCTATCTAATGAAATACCACTCACTCTCTTATCAGTGTCTCTTATAAAACACACCAGGATAGCTGTTTAAAGTAACCAGTTAAAAATAAATATTTGTTGACATTCCTGCTGACATTGTAAAATGAATAATGAAAATCGGTTCAGAATTGGTGACGTAATCGCGTAACATTCACACAAAAAAAAAACGGTTCAGGTGCGAGTTGAATACACCTCGATGTGTGAGTTCATATCTGTGTACAGAGCCCGAGGGTTCCGTATGTAGGTAAAATTATATTTATTTTATTTCTTATATGAAATAGACACTTTGTAGTTATTATTGGTATTACAATTAGTAATTCCTTACTGCGGGGCATAATTGTGGTTTTAAAGTGGTGTGGTTAAAAACTACTAAAAACAAATTACTAAATTTGTTTTTAGTAGTTTTTTGATAACTTCTCAAAAACTGTGTTAATCAGAAACACAGTTTTATTGCTTCTGAAATATCTTTATAAATTTTTAATATTTCATATTTTTTTAGATCATTAACCAAGGATGTAAAAGGGGAGGTGGGGAATGATATTTTTTTACATTTTAGATTATAAGTAAAATAAAAAAAAAAATATTCGTGAATGTACAAATGATGTCCTTTCTTTATGTTACTCCACATGGATTAGTAAAATTATTTTGATATTTAGGAACAATATCATCGTCATCATCATTTCAGCCATTACCCGTCCACTGCTGGACATAGGCCTCCCCCATAGACTGCCGTAAAGAACGGTCCTGAGCCACCTGCATCCACTGACTCCTTGCAACGCATTTGAGGTCGTCACTCAGTCGTCTAGTGGGAGTCGTCCTATACTGCGTTTGCCTATACGGGTTCGTCACTCAAAAATCTTAAGAAAAAATATATGTTGTTTTAATTATTTCTTTTGCAATATTTATGGACCAATGATATTTAAAGTCGTTTGCTTAGGTACCTCTATCCCTTTCGTGTTTTAACCGTGAAGCAGTTTTGTTTGCATGGCTGTGATTCGGTTTGAAGGGTGAGATATGGCATGAATTTATAGGGTACAGAGGAATAACACCCGTCCTCAGGAATGGCAACGTATGAGGGGTATCATGGCCGAAACAGTATAATCTGTTATGCCCGTGGTACTGCTCATGTTTATAGGCGACGGTTACCACTTTCCATCAGGTGGGCTGTCAGTTTGTTTGCCATTCTAAGTTGTATAAAAAAAAAAACTATTCCAATTTTCAAATTAATATCATTTGTAATTACTGAGATAAAACACAAAGCCGCATCGTAATAGATAGTGTACCATTTTAGTACGGAACCCTAAAAACTAAAAGAGTTGAAAACCTTTTGGGAGTCGTTGATTTTGAAATGAAGTTAAACACTTGATAGTTTCACATGACACTTATTAGAAATCAGAATGCGTAACACTGCTCAGTTAATGGATGTTTTACTGGTGCGTACCGAGAAATGAACGTTATGTTAGATCGCAGCCGTCTGTCACTTTGTATTTACATTAAATTTGTTTCAATTGAACCTAATAAACATGTAAACAAACACATATTTGTATTAAATAGCTGTTATTATCTGGGGGGAAAAGGATTGTTAGCAATGGAGTTTGACAGCCCCATTGCTAGCAATATGACTTATTAGGTCGACCTCCACGTGGTTCCCCCTGGAAACCATCGTGAACAATTCTTGTTGAATTCGTCACGATGGGCTAACTGACCTGCTTTATCCTCTCCTATCATCCTTCACTGATACCCCGCTGGTGTATACCGATAGCGCGGGTGGGGTTACCATTCCATTATCATCCATTTAAAAAAAAAATTTATTATCTTTACCTATCTCAATAATGAAGTATTCGTGATTCACTGTTCATCCCAAAGGTTGACGGGTAGAGAATGCTACTAGCATTAAGCTTGCCTTTTGTACCTTATTTTAATTTGGTCAATAAAGTTATTTAAATAAATAAATATTTGATCCGCCCATAAAACAGTCTTCCAATGTCAAGTAGTAACATGGTATAAATAAAAAAAAAAATGGTTAATCGATTGAGTATTTCGTTTTGTTATTTAAATTTAGAATGTTTCTGTGATATTGGGGTCGATTCTGAATCGTCACTTTTATTTTTCTATCTCTGTAATAAAAATTTCAATTCAATACCTTACAACGAAATCTTTATTGTAAATATTTATATGAATGTATTTTCTAATAGAATTATGTTAATATTATTATAATATCAGTTTGTCGTGATGTATAAAACAGTAATTTTGCGAAATAATCATATTAAAATATAAGGTTGAGAGATAAGAGAAATTACGCTACAGAATCGACCCCAATGTCAACGAAGCATAACCGAATTTCGACTATATGACAATTGAATATTTTTTTTTATTTTTATATATATTATATATTTGAACAGAACTTTCAATAGTCTGTTACAAAAGAACTTAATAAAAATATAACCAATTTTTGCTGAGTCGAAGTCGTTTGATTAGGGCATTCGAATGAGCTTTTAAAGTAGCTATTTTATTTTTAAATAGCTTAATGTTTTCTCAATTCCAAATATTTTTTTTAATGGTCGAAAATGGAATGGTAGCTACGCCTACAGTATTGGCAAACTCTAGTGGAACATCAGTGAGGAATGATATGTGAGGATGAATGCTGGTCAGTTGGTTTAACGTGATGAATTTACGAATCAACCACGATTAGTTTCAGAGGGAACCGCGTGGAGGTCGACCTGACTGGGCATATTGCAACTATAGGGTTGCTAGATCCTATTACTAATAATCCCTTCCCCCCTCTCAAATTCAAGAGGTGCAAGAGTCAACGCACAAACTCAATTTCATTTTTATTATATTGATAAGCTTTATAAATGTATGGGTTTGTAAATAAATTATTTATCCTGGTCACATCCTTCACGTATCCCGGTCTCGCGAATTACGCCGCGGGTAAAAGCTAGTAACATAGAAAACAGAAATATCACGCCTTGTGGCTCTGATAGGCCGAACTCGGCCAAAGCGTTGCGACTTTATTATTCAGAACGCGAGACGTTTCCGCGTAATGTTCACACACTAGTACTTGGCTGCGGTTTTACGTGATACACGGGTCGCCATTAGAAATTTATCTGTTCATCCTCAGAATAATGCAGTTTATTGAAAACTAGTAACATCCCACGCATTTTCTCACATATGTTGCGGTAAAAGGTGATTATCTTTGTATCTCTTCACAATTCATCACAGTGAAATTCAATGAGACATGCTTATATTAAAGTAATTAAATCTATACTTATAATAAATCTGTAGAGAGGTCAATTCTGTACATGAAATATATTTCCAAAATAACTATCAGCGGGTGATTAGTGATCGATACTGATGCCAAAAATGCAATCAGTAAAATTTTTGTCTGTCTGATAGATAGATAGATAGATAGATAAACACTTTATTTGAGCCATTTATGACACACGTAAATTAATAAATAAAATGATACAATCTGATTATTTACATTTTTTCAAATATAAAACAACATATAAAACAAAAAATGAATATTGGAGATATGTTTTCACCAAGTGTGTCGCAGTGACCCAAAAAGGCTACAGCTCGATGATACTTTTGCTTAAAAGCAAAGCACTGATTTTCAGCTGCAACCTGAAGTAAGGCTACACGGACGCGACGGATTTTAACGAAACTTGGTACAATTATTCTTCATACTGTTGGGCAGGTTATAGTATCACTTTTTATCACGTTACGATCAATAGGAGCAGAGCAGTGAAGGGAAATGTTAGGAAAACGTGAGAAGTTACTCCATTTTTAAGCTTTTGTCGCGTGTGCAGCCTTAATAGTCACTTTTTAAAATGTAATAATGTCCACCTGTGCGACGCCGGGACAGGCCGCTAGTTATAAATATAATTGTGAGAGACCGGTGCCTGAGATAGGTATAAGAGTACCTGTATTAAAGGTCACAAAATGAATGAGATTTCCTTATTATTCAGTTCAAAATAATGTATTACTTTTTTATTATTATAACTGCCATTAACTGTTCACTGCTGTAGGGGAGGTAGGGGAGCATTGGGCAGTCGGGAGGTTTGGGCACCCCCTCATTTCTCCAAAACTTTCATAGATATTTTTTGTTTTCTACCACAGCACTATACTTTATTCACTAGCAACACCGCTTATCTAAAGTGTCAGCTGTCATTTTACTTGGTTGTCAAGTTACATGCGCGTAACGGTTTGCTGCGTACAGAAGTAAATATTTTATTTGTGATTTGATGTAACTTATCAAAGAAATCTGCAAGAACGTGTAAGTATCTGTGTTATCTTTTTCTTTTGTGTTTAATGAATATTATATTTGCCTGTAAATTAGGTTTCTACATTTGATAAAAATAATCTTATTCTAATCTATTTGAAAAGTGAGGTTATGGGGAGCATTGGGCACGCAGGTAGGAGGGAGGTTTGGGCATGTTTGGCTCTGTTTTTAGTGTATTTTGGTGTCTTTTTGCTATGCCTATTGGATTGAGTGGTTAATCATTTCTTTTTAGGACAATGCCGTTTTCATTTAAAAAGAAAAATAAGCGACGTGAAATCCCTAAAGATATTATTTTGCGCGCATTGGAAGAAGTTTCCAAAGGTGCTAAAATTAAAAGTACTGCGAATAAATATGACATACCAAGATCTAACCTTCAAAGGTATATCAAGCAGGGTGGTGTCGTAAAAGATAATTCTTGTAAATTTATATCGTCTCAAATATTCACAAAAGATGAAGAAGAGAAAATTTCGGAATATCTTGTAACATCTTTTAAACTAAACCATGGACTATCAAAACTGAAAACACGCGAATTGGTTTATGAATACGCCACTGCCATTAAAAAGAAAATACCAGATAACTGGACAGAGAAGAAACTTGCATCCAAAGACTGGATAAGGGGATTTTTTAAAAGACAGCCTCAACTTTCGATAAGGACACCAGAGGCTACCAGTCTGTCACGGGCCACAAGCTTCAATAAGACAAATGTCGGAAATTTTTTTGAAAATCTTAAAACTGTGTATGAACGGCATCGCTTCGGCCCTGAGTCTATTTACAATATAGACGAAACTGGATTATCAACGGTGCAACGAACCCAGAAAGTGATTGCTCTCAGAGGCACTAAGCAAGTTGGGCAAGTAACGTCAGCTGAAAGAGGGACGCTTGTAACGGTTTGCTGCGGTATTAATGCATTGGGTAACTCAATACCACCATTTTTCATATTCCCACGGGTTAATTTCAAAACATATATGCTAAATGATGCCCTTGTTGGTTCAGATGGAGCAGCACATCCTTCAGGGTGGATGACATCACCAAATTTTTTAAAATATATTCACCATTTCGCCAAACACGCAAAACCAACGCCTTCATCGCCAGTTCTTTTGCTGCTGGACAATCATGAGAGCCATATTTCAGTACCAGTTCTCGATTTTTGCAAACAATCAGGCATTGTTTTAATGACTTTCCCACCACACTGCAGCCATAAACTGCAACCTCTAGACCTGACTGTCTATGGACCACTGAAAACTTATTATAACACTGCTGTAACAGATTGGATGGTAAGCAATCCGGCCAAAACAGTAACAATTTATGAAATACCAAAATTAGCAGCAAAAGCCATTCCACTAGCATTCAAGTTGCAGAATATTCAAAGTGGATTTGAAAAATCTGGCATATGGCCATTGAATTCAAATATTTTCTCCGATGAAGATTTCGCTTGTTCTTTTATAACTGATCGCTGCTTGTCGGAAGAGGGTAATGTTCCTTCAGAACAATCTATTTCAGACCAACCTGTCACTGAACAGCCTTCAACAGGGGAAAATCAGAGTCTAGAGGATCGTACAAGTTCAAATGTGGAAGTCATTGGGCCATCTCAACTGGAATCTCCCTCTACAAGTCAAATTAGTGGCACTGTCAATGTAACACCTGATGTAGTAAGACCGTATCCGAAGGCCGGCCCCAGGAAATTGCAGGGTATGAAACGGAAGAAGGGAAAAACTAGAATATTGACGGACACACCCGAGAAAAGACTTATAGAAATGGAAGAAGAAGAAAGACAAAGAAAAAATAAGATCAAAGAGCTCAACAAAAATAGAAAATGCTTCAAAAATACAGGACAGAAAAAAATTCCGAAACTTGCTGATGAATTTACTTCCAAACTAGAGAAAAACAGGAAAATTAGCAGCGATGATGAAATAGAAAATGTTTCAGTTTCTGACGAAACCGTTGTTGAATCGGAAGATTTTGATGAAGACGATGTGATCGTTCTGGATAGAAATTTCCAGATCAATAACTTTGTATTAGTGAAATTTGACACCAAAAAAACTGTCTACCATTATGTTGGAATAATCGAAGATGTTAATCAGACGATGGCAACTGTAAAATTTATGAGAGTGAGTAAGTTAAGAAATACTTTTATATTTCCTGACATCGAGGACGTAGCCAGTGTCCTCCTGGAGGATATAAAGACAAAATTGCCTACACCAACGACATGGATGAAACGTGGCAGCTTAAAATATAAATTTGACAAGCCTCTATGGATCATACCAAATATAAGATAAGTTTAATTAAGTCTAACATCGTGCAGTACTGATTCTAAGTCACATTGTTAAATTTTTCTAAAATCTATGATAAGAAAAAATGTTTGTATTACAATTTTTTATAGTAATGTTATATAATACTTAAGCCTAGTAGTATAGTAAAGCAATTTCGTGCATATTAAATACAGTGCCCAAACCTCCCTACATGGGTGCCCAAACCTCCCGACCGCCGGGAGGTTTGGGCACTTTGGACATGTGTTCGAAGATCTCTTGTAACTTTGAAACTAATTACAATATTGAAACTTTTCTTAATAATAATTACTACCAAATATGTGTGCTCCCTATATTAGGAATAAAATTTTGATTATGATAAAAAATAACAGTTTTATTAACATTTATGTAAAAAAGTGCCCAATGCTCCCCTACCTCCCCTACATATGTCTACCCCATAAGAGGGGTTTTGCCAATAGTTACCACGCAGGCGGGTTGGCAACCGCAGTTTTTTTTTTAATAGATGATAATGGAATGGTAACCCCACCCGCGCTATCGGTTTACACCGGTGGAGCACCAGTGAAGGATGATAGGTGAGGATGAAGTAGGTCAGTTAGCCCATCGTAAAATCCGTCGAGTAGTTTTTGTTTCTATAACGAACATGCAGACAGACATTTTACTGATTGCATTTTTGGCATCAGTATCGATCACTAATCACCCCCTGATAGTTATTTTGGAAATATATTTCATGTACAGAATTGATCTCGCTACAGATTTATTCGTTATAAGTATAAGTATAGAAGATAAATTTATAGACTCAGTCACGTACGGAAGTTATTTCTTTTTATGGAGGCAAGATATAAAACTACCTATAGGGATTTATATTATTTTATATATTTGCTTCTTGTCTATGGTTGTCAAACAGTAAATATCACTTTGTAATTCGTCCGTCAAAATAATAAAATATCATTAGTTATCGAGTGCTTTTACATGAACCGCCGAAATAAACATAAACATCAAGTGACACCGAACACCGAGGTAAATAGACACATTGAAATAATAATTAGAAACAATTAAAATATCATCATTTTGTAATCCAGCTTTTTGAGGTTAGAAGAAAGTGAGTCATCCATCAAGACATTGACATTCCATGCAAGTGTCAATAAACGTCAGCGCACAGGTTATCAACAACGTCAAATACACGTCAGTGTTGCCATTCGAAAAAAAAAATGGAGGGACAATTCAAATTACTTTTTGACCAAATGAAAATAGAAATGGAAAAACAAACAAACATTATATTCGAAAAAATGGACGAAAAACTGGAACCATTGATAAAAGAGAACAAACTTTTAAAAAATAAAATAGAAATATTAGAAAAGAAGATAGAATATTTTGAAAAAGAAAAAAAGAGAAATAACATTCTGTTTTTTGGTTTGGAAGAAAAAGGGGATTCTTCTTTGGAATTGCTCCGGAGGATCCAGGCAATTTTCGAGGCAGATTTGAAAATTGCCTTGAGCGCTGCTCATGCTATCAAAAATTCACCGTATCGGTCCTAACAAAGAGAATAAAATAAGGCCGGTTCTCATTAGTTTTACAAACAACTGGAAGAGAAGCGAGATATTGAAGATGAAGAAAAACCTTAAAGACGGGTATGTCACTGAAGACTTTCCTAAAGAAGTGTTAGAAAAAAGAAGAGAATTAAAGTCAAAACTAATAGAAGAACGTGCAAAAGGGAACACAGCATACATCAAATACGATCAGCTGGTAGTAAGGGAAACAAACCCAAACAAAGAAAAAAGGAAAAGAGACCAATCTTCTTCGCCGGTAAACCAACATCAGGCCAAAAAAACAGTAATTAATAATTCTATGATGAAGGAAAATAGAAAGAACGCATTTGATCTGTTGAGACAAAGATCTAATTCAATTTCTAATATTCCAAACCATTCCAAGTAGCAACTAAAAACTAGCAACCAGAGACAGAACAACCCCAATCCGGCTGGTCCCCGTGGGGTTGGACGACCACTACCCCCCCCAAAGAAATACATTACTATATAAAAATAGAAACTACAACAAGATACACATTGCAACTTTAAACGTTAGAACGCTTATGTCGGACAGCAAACTAGAAGAATTGGAAGAAGCCATAACACGTATAAAATGGGATATCATTGGTTTTTGTGAAGTAAGAAGAATAGGAGAAGAGATTAGAGAATACGAAAAATACATTTTCTATTTTTATGGTAAACAAAAAGGTATATACGGAATGGGATTCCTAGTAAATAAATACTTAAAAGATAAAATAATAAGTTTCCAAGGAATATCAGATAGAATTGCCTTACTCAATATATATCTAACAGAATCTAAACAACATTGGTCGATTATTCAAGTACATGCACCAGGAGAGAAAGATACAAAAATTGCGAAGGATAAATTTTACAGGGATATGACTGACTTGATGCAAAACAAGAAAAAGAACATAATCATCATGGGAGATTTCAATGCTAAAGTTGGTAGCAAATCAAACAAAGATGAATTTGTTTTAGGAGATTACAGCAGTGGCGACAGAAACGATAATGGACAAAGACTCGTAGACTTTTCTTTTGCTCACAATCTTAAAATAATGAACAGTTTCTTCAAAAAACGTAAATCGAGAAAGTGGACATGGCTAGCACCAAACGGCAGAGATAAAAATGAAATTGACTTCATACTTACAAATGAAAAACATATATTTGAAAATATTGAAGTACTAAATAAACTAAATTTTAATACGGATCATAGAATGGTAAGAGGAGTTATAAAATGCATAAATAACAAATCAAGAAAATATATTATAAACTCAACCATGAATAAGACAAGAACATCGCCAATACCACCAAACGTTTTATTTGATTTACAGAATACATTAAAGAAAGCCAAAGAGGAAACAAAAACATTACAAGAAAAGTATAATTTTTTGGAAAGGGAATTGCTAAACATAAATAAATTGAGTACTAAAACAGAGAAAATAAATAAGTTAGGAGAAGAAACGTTACAATTAATGAAAGAGAGAAATAAAATGTTACACCGACGAAAAGATAACAAACAAAATATCGCAACTATTAGTAAAAAAATTCAAGAATCGATACGAAAACATAGAAAAGCTGAAAGAATCAATGTATTAAATGAACAAATAGAAAAGACAGGCGGAATTAGGAAAGGTCTAAAACAGCTAAAAGAATATACCCAATGGATACCCAACATGAAAACTAAAAATAAGAAGAAAAACGAGAAACTGACGACAAAGAGATTATCCATAGCAAAAGCAGTGACAGAATTCTATAAGGAATTATACACAGATCCAGACAGAACAAAGCTAACAGAAGAAGAGAAAGAAATTTGCATAGAAGAAATATCTTGTATATTGGAATCAGAAGTTATAAAGGCTATAAAATCACAAACAAGTGGGAAAGCTCCTGGAGATGATAAAATATCTAATGAAGTATTAAAACAGACTCTACCTGCGATATCCAAGTATGTGACCCATTTATTTAATGAAGTAATAGTATCTGAAAAAATACCCACTCAATGGACGAAATCAACCATTATCCTATTACATAAAAAGGGAGACAAAAATGAAATAAATAATTACAGACCGATAAGCCTTATGTCCAATTTGTACAAAGCGTTTTCTAAAATCATACTCGGGCGAATATCAAAACACCTTGAAGAAAACCAACCGAGAGAACAAGCGGGATTTCGCGCCGATTATTCTACTATCGACCATATCCATGTAGTGAAGCAAGTTATCGAAAAACTAAACGAATACGGACAACTGTATTATATGGCATTCGTCGATTATAATAAGGCTTTTGATTCACTGAGTCATACCTACATTTGGAAAACACTAGAAAACCAAGGCGTAGAAAGTAAATACATAAGAATTATAAAAGAGATATACAGAAACATTACAGCAACAGTCCAACTTGAACAACAAGGTGAAGAGTTTAGAGTTCAAAAAGGAGTAAGGCAAGGCGATCCACTTTCCCCAAAACTTTTTATAGCCGTACTAGAAGATGTATTTAGGAATTTAGACTGGGAACATTTTGGAATTAATATTAATGGAGAAAACCTAAATAACTTAAGATTTGCCGATGATATTGTGATTTTTGCAACGAAACCAGGGATACTACAGAATATGCTCCAACAATTAGATTTAGAGAGCAAGAAAGCAGGTTTATCTATGAATCCAACGAAAACTAAAGTAATGACGAATACTGAAAGGGTCAATATAAGAATAGGACAAGAAGTCATAGAATATGTAGATGAATATATATATTTGGGGCAACTAATTTCGATAAAAGACCAGTATTCTAAAGAAATAGATAAAAGAATAAGTAACACTTGGAAACGGTACTGGTCTTTAAACGAAATAGTTAAAAATGAAGAAATTCCTATGGCAATAAAAAGCAAACTATATAACACATGTATTCTACCATGTCTTACATATGGATGTCAAACTTGGCCTGCTAAGAACAAAGATACCCAAAAACTTGTAGTTTGTCAACGCAACATGGAACGAAGTATGTTAAACATCAGACTAAGAGATCGATGGACAACTTCAAAAATAAGAAAAAAAACAAAGATCAATGACGTGTTACAAAAAATAAGAAAACTTAAATGGAATTGGACTGGACATATAATGAGAACCAACAAAGAAAAATGGACGAAGGATATAATAGAATGGTATCCTAGAAATGGGAAAAGACAACGAGGAGGACAAATCAAAAGATGGGAGGACGATTTACCTAAAGTATGGAGAAAGTCAGCTAGGGATAGGGGAAAGTGGAAACAGTTGGGGGAGGCCTATGTCGACAGACAACCTGACTAACATAATGGTTGCTAGAAAGCTACCTTAGTAATAAGTAGTATATAAGTTAAAGTAAAAATGTCAGAGAATAAAGGCTTTATTATTATTATTATTATTATAGGGATTTATCATTATTCCACGCATGTTGGAAAGTACGCATTTTTTTTCTGATGGGTGAAAATGGTATGGTAACCTCGCCTGCGCTAGCAGGATACGCTGGCGCAGCACCAGTGAAGGGTGATGGATGAGAATGAAAACAAGCCAGTTAGCCAATCATGATGAATTCATCAGGAATTAACCATTACAGTTTCCAGGGGGAACCGCGAGGAGGTCGACCTGGTTGGATATATTGCTAGCAATGGGATTCTCAGTCTCCATTACTAACAATTCCTTTCCCCTGGAAAGTACGCATTTAGATCCAGTTCCAGATCCAGCAATTTATTATAAATTATAAAACATTATTTAAGTACCTACATATAGTAAGTCTCAGCATGATAGAATCCGAAACGAGCATAACCGCAAAAGAACCAAAATAACCGACATAGCCCGAAGGAAAAGCAAGCTGAAGTGGCAATAGGCTGGTCACATAGCTCGAA